TAATTAATTATGTAATTTAAGGCTATCTGCAGTTACTTTTCCACAAAAATGTTGATGCAAGAGCGCATCATTATTGTGAAATAAAGTTGTACAGTTTCGAGGTTGTACTGAATCAATTCAATTAGTTTATTTGGATAATTGAGTTTCTACGTTAATTTTTATCGATATTCACACGGCTTTTTATGTTAACTTCCATTTTTGCTGTTTGTAGAAAATTTGATGTTCCGCTATAAAGATGTATTTCCTGTAGAGCCCCTGCTCCAACACTTTTTATAAAATTTGAGTCATTTTGCACAGCAATAAATTAGTTTCGGGTTTGTGCTTCAGTTTCCGGGCATTTCCTGGATGGTGATGCTTTTTGCGGAAGAGGGCTATAAAATTTGCTCCAAGGCATTTCTTGCTGAAGCTGCCTATTTCCTCTCAAATATTTTTTCTCCGTTGTAATCGTTACGTTCTAAATAACCCATTGGCCTGAGTTTCAATGCTCTTCGGCCTCTTCCCCTGACTTGACTTTCATCATCACTTCACGTGAAGGACTTTGATACTGATGAATAAATGCAAAATAGTTCGTTGAATCGTAACTATTCAGATAAGTTTTTAGCGCTTAGCATGGACGTGGAGTTCTTTTATAGTTGAGTGCGTTTATTAACAACAATATTATGAATAAAATTTAGTCTCTCTAATTTTAAATGCTGATGTAGGCAAATTTGTGCTGCATTTAAATGTAGTTCGCGTCTTGGCTGTGTGATGGACCCAAGCAAAACTGTGAAAAACTACATTTGTGTGAAATGAATTATTTATCTCCTGAAATTGAATTCGGAAGTTTTCATAAATAATAAGTAGGTTTTTAACGCGGATTAGATTCATTACGCTCATTTATTAAAAAGAAAACTTTTCTTACCACACTGTCATCTGAAAAACATTAGAAACTTTCGCCCTCCTTTTAATTAGAATTGTTATGTAACTTCAACATGTGAAGCCACCTTTACGTGATCAGAGAAGCAGGCTATACCTTTAGTACCTCATTTGTGCTTTGGGATCCCTGCTATTTAGGTCAAGTTGAGACTCATGGCAGCTGCAGCAGATGTGTGGCCAGATTTTTCTCTATGCTCGCGACACACGAATGATTCTAAGAAATGGATTTTAGCGTTGCTGTGTATAATTCAATTTTTATCTGTAATTCTAAGCTCAACTTGTGGATAGTTTGACGGAGAAATTATCCACAGAAGGACAAATTATTTCAGTATTACACCATTGATTCACAAAGGTATTTATTAGACAAGCGTGCGAGCATCACACGCATGCACCTTCGTGCCCTTGAAAATTTTCTGGTTCTAGGAATTTTTTTTTTCTAGAAACTTGCTTCTTGGTTCACTGATTCATTTCATTTTATATTGAAATTTATTCAATGCAATGAAATGAAATTGAATGAAATGAAATTTGAAATAATAAAAATGTCAATTTCTCACGGATAACTTTTTCCCAGGAATAAATAAGAATAAATATTGTCGTTTCTCTTATAAATTTTTATCCTCATACGCTAGGTATTACGACACTGGCTTGCTTGCATTCGATAAACCTCGAGCATACTCTAATACGTGGCTCTTTTTTACAATATATCACGCCAATATTTCTATAGGTGTTGTGCCTTTGTTGCAGCAATTGCATGCGATGATTGCATCATGTCTGCTTATAGCTGCTGGTTCTCACTTATTTTATAATATATTTCGTCGTTCAGCTTGCTGTGCGCTCGGTAGATGTTCCATCAGTTTCTGTGACTATGGGTTATCTTGGTCGTAATTCTGATTGAAAGGGCCTCAACTTTGGTCAATGTATGGTGAACACTAATCTTACTGACATTTAACTGTTGAACAGCTGAAGCTGCGTATGTTAGCTATATTTGCCTGGAATTTGAGAGCGATTGTTCAGTACTGCATGGCGCACACCAGTGTTACAGTATATGATCTGCGTGGTCTACAATTAGCTGGTTGCTCGAAACGTTCACATCCATAAATCTCGTTCAGTTTTTTCTCATCCATTTGTATTATTATTCGCATAAATTTATATTTACTGAAACGCAGTATAGGCCATTGCTTCGGAAATTCAGTGCAAATGATTTCTTTATAACTTTATTTTATTGCAAGGTGTTGTGTGATGAGCGACAAATGCTATTTAAAATTTTTCCTTCTTTTTTTAGCGTCATCTGCCTGATTTTGAAGAACTTCACTGTATCAGATTTTCCTTTCTTTGTAATATTCATCTCTGCGAAGGAAGCCTGCAATTAAAAGCTTTGTATAACTAGAATTCGGCGACTCTCTCGCTTTGACAAGGAAAAACTCCGTTCGTTCTTTGTACGTTGCCCGAGCGTGCTTTCAATGAACAGCGTTTTAGTAAGGTAAAGATATTCCGGGAAAAATTTTGCAACGCAACTGATTCAGGGGCTACAATGGTTAGTGGCTTGTGTAGCGAAAATAAGTTGTACATATCTACACGTGCTCGCACTTCTAAATAATATAATTTACTCGCACTTTTCATTTCTCTTTCCTCGCATTTTTTTCGTTGGGTATCTGATAACAAGAGCCGCTGCCGCCTTGCTGTCTGTCGGGATCAGAGAGGCCTCTGAAAATAGACCTGCGGTGACTGCCTGCATTGCTCTCTCACTCTCATTGGTCGACTTGAGTTTCTAAGAGGTATTGCGAGGGCACGTATCTTGTCCACATCGTTCGTGCCAGCCAGGGTTACTATACTCTCTCAGTGACCTCTTCTTGTGACGTCAAAGCTCATTTGGTTCGTGCCGCGGATTTTTAAACTCAATAAGGCTTCAAAGCCTCAAATTTAGGCTTTGCTATGAAATCAAAGTCTAAATGCGCATCTGAATTTTTCCACATTTTGCTGCTTTTATTTTTATAGACGATTTCGGTTGATTCGCGCTTGTTTTTTCAAACTTTTTCAAAATTTCCTGCAATTTTTTTTTGTCGTCCTTACTCATAACTATATCCAAGCTATGATTAATATTCATTATCGTGTCAACTGAATAACAAATTTAAAAACAAATACAGCTTATTGGGTCAGGAAGAAGCGCTCTGAAACCAAATGTCTATTAGTCAAAACACATCCATAACTTAATTTTTTAAAATTATTCCAAATTATTTTTTTATCTTGTCTTCAATTTAATGTTGATGCTGCCCAAGCCTCTATTATTTCGATTTACGTGAGAGATAAACTTTGCGTGATAATTCCGCTTCCAATGATGGTTTTTGATATTTTCTCTGCTATTAATAGGCGCTTTTTGTGATCCACGTACGAAATAATAGTTTGCTATCCCTTCGTGTTAGCAGCGTAGATATTTATATGTACTATGTTGCTGTGGACAATGCTTCGCCGTGTTTAAGTATTCATCAGTGCATGAAGGACGTAAAATATTGCGCAGTAATAGGACAACCAGAACGGGCCGTCGGCATGGCGATCACGTGTTGTTGGTGTGCTGCAAGTGTGATTTTAAATGAGGAAATGGTGGGGGGGTTACATGACGTCACTCGATGGAGGCGAGTGTAACAGTGCCAACTTTGCTCAACAGTGCCTGCTTCTGAGCCCAAGCAGACCTTGCGGTGCTGGTGGTAGCCTCAGTTGTTCTCGGGAAGTCGGTCTGGCCGTAGCCCATATTCTCTTTACAAGGCTTTCAACGTTGACTTCAAATAGCTAGAGATCTTATTGACTTGTAGTGTGTTAAGTTATAGTGAACCGTGATAACTTGAGTGCTCGTTTTTGCATCTATTACTTGACCTAAGCTCCTCTAAAAGAACGAATTCTGAGTTTATTTCTTCTAGCAATGCCGGTACGTTTGACCTCACTCGACTCCGTTTGTGGGTTTCATGCTTTTAAAAATTACTGTCCTAGAATTCCTAGAAATACTGTCTTAAAATTCTAAAAGAAGCAATTAGTCTTGTAAATTTGTTTTAACAGAATCTCTCGCGTCAATTTAAGCTTTTACATTTTTACTCTGAAACAACTTACAATTTTTCTCCCTGAAGGTTGTGTTAAGAAGACTTGGTTAAGTGTGTTATAGACTTTTTCGCCTTTATTTATGCTATTTAAAACCATTCATTTTCAGTATCTGACCCAATATAAATTTTCAGTGTAGTATATATTATACATGCTTGTATTCTGGTTATCTGAGAGGAGATGGATAAACAATCCATTTCATTAAAGAATACTTCATTTCGGTGAAAAGCTTCAGTTGCAAATATTCAATTATTAATCTCATTACTTTAAATTTATTGCTGCCTTTATTGCCATTTAAATTTGTAATTTTCCACGTCTGTCAATATGAAATGAACTCAGGAGATACCATCTTTAAAAAATAACGCTCTGAAAATGTGCGGTAGCTGAAAAAAATGAAAAATTTTCGTCCTTATACCATGTTGGAAGTGCTTATTCTAGTTAATATTCGCATGTTATAAAGTAGTTGCAAATCGCTAGAAAACGTTCAACAGTTAGCTTCTTTCCGAATCAATTGGATACGATGTGCAGTAATGCAAGCTCCAAGGACCTCTATTTGTAACCATCACCAAGTCTGCAGTTCTTTAGTGAAGCACAAAACTCCACGGTTATTGGTGGCCAATTTTGATACGGTTCAGACAGCCCCTACGTTAGTGTGTGTTAGGCTCATACATGAGAATATAATTCCTAATTCGGGATTGATACTGCGTTTGTATAATAACTGGAAAAAAATAAAACAAAAGACTTGATATCTCCTAGATACTTGTATTAGTTGTATACCAGCCGGCGTTTCAGTGGACAGTATCTATCACATTTCCTTTTCTTGCAAAGAGAAAGAGAGAGTTACCGCTCTAAGGTGTTTATGAAGCTAACGAGAAGTAATGCAAAAATTTTTCTTCTAACCGGCATGGGAAATACTAGTTGAATGATCGGATGTATTGCACGTATAATCATGGCTCGCGGATAGTTATTCACGTGTGAATTTTTTTTTTTTTGTGCAGCCGCTTGTGGAGTGGTCGGCCAGTAATGTGGTGGACTGGATGGCTGCGCTCAATTTGACAACCTACACGGAACTTTTCAAGTCCAAGGACATCAAAGGATCCGACCTCATCTCATTGGACAAAGAAAAGTTGGGCGTAAGTCATGAGTGCATTTATAATTCTTGTTGCGCAAGTTAGTTGCACCGTAAGTTTGCTTTGATTCTTGTGAAGCTAATGATTCGTTAATATTAATATTAGAATTATTATTGCTATTTTTAAAGCGCTTTTAACCGTGCGTTTGCGGTACAAACTTAATTATCCTAGTTACGGATGAGGAATTTAGAATTTTATTGGCTTATTTTGCAGTTATTGTCTAAGTCATGTTTAGCAAGTGGCCAGAGCTACTGCGATATGAAAGAAACGTGCGAGAGTTGAGTGTTGAGCTCTGCAGCCGTTAGCGCCACGAGCTCATTGGTTGGTTCGAGGCCAGCTTCCAGCATCGTACGATGGCTTGCAAGCTTTTTCCTCAGCATATCGCCGGGGCCCTGTGGACTCAGTAACACTACCTTAGCTTAATTATCTCGATTTGCACTGTATGTTGTTGCTGAATCTTGTGAATATTTTCGCAGCACTGTAATTTATTCTGTTTTTTTCTCTAAATCTCGTACTACTGCCTGCAACTTCTGCCAAGTTTTAAATAATATTGTGTGAATTTTATCGAAATTTCGCACGCAATCAGAATTTTCATTCCGCGCGACTTCTTGCTTTCACTTTGGGAATCATAGATGAGAAATGGCTTTGACATTTCTCATCTACTACACGTAATATGACTTCACATGGCAAAGTTCTCTACCTAATATAAATAATGATAAATTACGGCTTTTCGTTCCTTACATTTGTGATTTTCCTGTTACAGTGTAGGCCGGGTAAAGATACATTAGAAAGTTTACCGACATTTCGTAGCTGAAGTCTTCAAAGAGAGTTATAGTCAGTAGATTATGGATCGAACACGAGGGCCACCAAATCTCTAGTCTTAGTTCTGAAATCTTTCTTACCGTTATCAGTCGGACATAAGCACTGTCCAATTTTGTGCTTTCACGTTAATCATAGTTTTAGTTTTAACTGCAACCATGCCTACCAAATCATCTCGATAAAGGCCTGGAGAACATCCCAGTTTATTCTTGATGAAAAATCGATCGCATCTAAGCCGATATGAACGTGTTGCTATATTTTCTTCCGTTAAATCTTTTATTTAGAAATTAGTAACTTTTTATTCCATGTATCCTGCACGGTGGCTTTGATATGTGTACGAGAGTAAAATTTTTTGCTTAGCTAGCATTACAATCTCCGACTAAAATGAAATTGTCGTACCAATTTTAGTAATGAATGGCGGTGAACGGGACCCGATAGTGGAAAATTTCTTCGCGGTCCTATGACCTGTCAGACACAATGACACGACGGCCGTGTTACCGGCTGTTCAGTTTATCGGTGGCTGCGGTGGAGTAAGGTTGTGGGAGCTTGAGGGTGTACCTCACTCGTGTTGTTGCAATGGCTTAGCCTAGAGTGTTTAATGTAGTTGCTGCAGGTGCTGGTCACTTTGCTAGCCTAGTAAACTGTGTTGTTTAACTTTAAGTGTTAGTATTTTATTTGTTCTGTTGAGTTCTTGTGTTTTGCTGTGTGAATCGTCAACCATGGCTCCCTTGCTGGCAAGTTTTAATAAATCGCCATTCAATTCTCCTGTATTGGCCAAACTACGCTGCTGGACGGCTCGTTTGCGTTCAAATAGGAGCGAGGCTTTAGTATCCACGAGCTGCAACAACGAAGAGTGTGATGACATCATACAAACGGACGAAGCCTCAGGCGCTTCGTTCTGGACTCCGCAATGCAACTACCTGACTCGAGCTTTGACCACTCCTGATTCTGGCATAGCTTCCTTACCGAAGCAACGCGTTGAGAAGGATTCTGCGTTTGAAGAGGCTGACTGGAGTGGTTTGGGAATGAGAAACAGGCTGCAATTTGGGACGCCCGTAACATTTGGTATCCCTGAAGCAAAAATAAAAGATGGTGGCAATATCGGATCGTGCCGTTTTAGCCCGGGCACTAACTTCCAAGATGCGTTAAATAAGAATTCCTCGATCGTATCTAGTCCGTTCAGTGATAAATGCGTCGATTTGCCATCCGCGATGGACAATATCTCTCCTTTAATTGCGGAATCCAGTGGTGATGAGAACTGCCTAAGTTTGGCTGACTTGAATTCTCCTAAATGCTGGGCCACATCCTTCTCCGACAATGAAGAGCCGTCACATGCGTTAGGTCGTTCCCCGGTTGACTTCGGTCTTTTGTGCCAGGCCAATGCCGGCAGAGAACTTGCCTGCACCGCTCGACCTTTTCGTGATAAGGAAATTCAACCCATAACAGTCAAGGTAATTCGCGATAAAGCAATGCGAACTGTCATTCAATTTCAGCGCTAGTAGCTCTGATAGTCAGGCGTTCATATCTGTTAGATTCTGTAATGTATTTTCTGACCGGCCTTGAATGATGATCGGTTGAATTCCTGCGTTATCTTTGCCTATTCAATTCCATTTCAGATATTTTTATCGGTTTTATTCGAAACCCCTCTCACCTATTGCTGAAGCATATGCTTCTCTTTGCAGAACATGGGTATCAAGGACGAGTTCCATCAGCAAAGCATCTTGGTGTGCATCAGCCAGATTCAGAACGATGGCATGCTCGGTGGAGGTGATCCGACTTCGCTCGTTGGGGAAGACTATAAAACTCCTGCATCGCACCACTCCCTCCGTCCTCATTCATTTAGCAAACTATATACCTGCGATAAATGTGGCCACTTCCTTAGAGGATTCTTTCACCAAGGCCAATATTGTAAAGGTTCGTTCATGAACATGGTTTATTTATTTCCCATAAAATTAATCTGTTTACTGATTAATACGGAATTCGTTAGCGAAGCTACAACGTCGGAAACTTTGTTGGGAAATTTGTTCAGAAGTGGTTATAATTTTGCTCTGTTGTCGCAATGAGAGAAGTGGAGGTTTACTATTCCTGTCATATATGTAGAATGAACAGGCTCTTTGTGTGGGCTTTTCTTCATCCCAGTTTTCTGGGCCCATGAATTGTGGCTCTGTGGACCATTGTATAGTCAATTGACTACAGGGACCTCAAAAGTATGTCACGTGTTGCTTATTGGGATGCGTCTTCTTTTCCATGTTAGTTTAGTCTGACTATCTCGTTTCATAAGTCTATTAATTAAGTTGTCGAAATAAGTTCTGTCACTAGTACCTGAGCACCAATTAGTGTTTCTCCCCACGCTATGAGTGTTTTGAAAATTCAGACTAATGTTCTTACGAAAATTATTCTGTGTGTATCAATACCAGATTTGTCAGCTAAATATTCAATGTCTTGTTCGGGAGACGAATGTTGATTTCTTTTTGCAGATTGTGACTTGATAGTTCACAGAACATGCGCAGCCACTGGCTTGCCTGCTTGTACACCGAAGTCTTTTCAGCGCATAGCGCTCGCTTCCGTATTTGGTTTGAGCTTGTGCAACCAAATTACGAATCAAGACTCAATGGTTCCGCTTCTCCTCGTGCGTTGCTGTGATGAACTCCTACTACGAGCGCGGGCTCTACCGACCCTGGACTTGTACAGGCTTTACCGCACCGCGCCCCCACAAGACGCACTTAATAATCTTCGGCAGGACTGTGACCGAGGTATGCTAATGCTTTTTTATCTTCCGACTTCTTTCTATGAATTTGCCTTGAAGCTCTTTACGGATCGTCTGCCAATTCTAAATGTTCCGTCTGTTTCTCGACAATTACAATTCCTGACAATTTCTTAGTCACTTTCTCTATGCGATCTCTTAAATATTTGTCTCATCTGTCAAATTGGGTAACTTTTCATAAAACGAAGCATTCATTTCCTCTCTTATCAAGATAAAATATCATCATGACACTATAAACAAATATTGAAAATGAATATTAGTGAATGAATGAAAATGAATGTTTCTTGACATGAATTCTTTTCCGTTGCAGTTTATCCTGACCTATACAAGCTAGACTTGACCCCGTACGAGCCGCACACAATTGCATATTTGGTGAAGCGATATCTGCAGGAGTTGCCAGAGCCTGTCATCCCCGAGCTTTTCTATTCCAACTTCGTCGAAGCTGCTCGCTCCTACGACAGTGAGGATGAATGCCTCAAGTATTTCGCTCAGCTGCTCACCAATTTCCCCAAGCATCATTATGACACAATCAAGTAAGAATTTTTACTTGGCTCGTTTTGTTAATTCCAAACTTACCGCTTTTTATGAATCGCATTTTTGTTCGAAAAACTTTTTATGAATCGGTTTTTTTCTCTTGCAAAAACACGATTCTTGTTGGTTTATATTTCTTATCTATGACAGCTGTGGTTTTCTACTGTAATATTTGTCGATAGTGGAATGTAAAGACATAATTGGATACTGTGGACATCTTGGCATAGCGTAGTCTATGTATTACAATTAGAATGTGAAGGATATAAAACAAAATTCTATTGTGCATTTCAGCCGCTGCATTTCTTTTCTTGTCGACGATATGAAAAATAAACATTTCTGTGATAAAATTGTCATGCATTTATGTCGTAATATTGCACTTTGAACTTGCTTCTGTTTCCACCCTTCCTAATTAGCATTACTGCTTATGCTGTTTACTACTGATTGGGTAAACAATGCTAAACAGTGAAGGTCTGATCACAACTCGTTGTTCTGAGGTCAAGGGCCCTTGTTGTGAATGTATGTATTAAAAGATGGGTTGAAAAAAGAGAAGACTTGTATGTGTGAAGAAAGCAGTTAAGCGTCTGAGGGTGGAATGGTGAGGAAGAAGGGTAATAATAGTTGATTTAAAGTAGGCGGTTATAGTTATGGTGTAAAGTATGAGAAAACGGTTATTTAGTAGATTGCAATGATTGTTGGTTTGTCGGAGGAAACATGTTTGAGGAAGAAGGATGTCAAGAATAGTATTAATGATTGGTGAAGGAGAAAAGCATAAATTCAATACATGAACACCATAACTGATATCAACACTTTAGTTCCTGTTTTGAGATGTTGCTCGTAGGATATGGAGGGAAATGATCACGTTTTCAGCAGTGGTAGCTGGTAGGTTATTATAACTGAAAAAGCCAAAAATAACTTATGAAAATTGTTCTAATTCATATAATTTACTTTGCAATTCATTTGATTCGAATGAATTTGTCCACAGGTTCCTGATGGTGCACTTCCTTCAGCTATGTGAGCTCCAAGTCAGCAGAGGAAACAAGGAGCCTCCTACCATCTTGCTCCGGTCCATGTCTCACGTTCTTATGAGACCGCCTTGGGATAAAATAATGTAAGCGTCATATTTGATCAAACCTGATACAAGCTTCTGATACGATACAAGTAGTCATTTTTAAACTAAATGGTTAACACAATTTTCCTTCATTTCTAAAATTCTTCATTTTGCTTCGTTATGACTAAATTAGTTTGCGCCTATCAATTTCCGAAGCGTAATCATTTTGGCCAACTTTGATAAAATTGAATTTTTGGTCTTGCAGAGAACTGGCCCGTAACACAGAAGCTCATATGCGAATCATGGAAATTCTGCTGCGCCGTGTTGACTGGGGAGTTACTGTGCCTACATTCGACACGGCACCTCCTCCAAGACCACCTTATCCTAACGCCGTGAGCCCCACGTCTCCGTACTCCAGTGGGACGCCCGTACCTGCGCCCATTTCCATCTCTGGTGTTGATAAAGCACCACGCAGCCTTCAGGAGGCCGAATGGTACTGGGGAGGAATATCTCGAGATCACGTGAACGTCCTCATGAAAGATGCTAAGGATGGAACTTTCTTGGTGCGTGACGCATCTACAGGCAACAACGAGTACACGCTTACTCTCAGGAAAGGTGGTTCCAACAAACTCATTAAAATATTTCATTGTAATGGCAAATACGGTTTTACGGAACCCTATGTATTTAATTCTGTTGTAGAACTAGTTAATTATTGTTGTGAAAAGAGTTTATCAAAATTCAACAAAGACTTGGACATACGGCTGCTATACGCTGTTCCCAAGTATGCTTATTATAAGGAAGCAAGCAACGATGACGTTGAAGAAGTACAGAAGAAAATTTTTGAAATAAATTATGAATTGAAAGAAAAACAGGCCCAGTATGATGGGTACTTCAGCAAGCACGAATCGTTGAACCAGGAATACAATACGAGCCGACAAGGAATAGAAGCCTACAATGACACCCTTGATTGGATCGAGTCGCACCTCAAACAATACTCAAAATTCCTAACAGAAGCTCAGCCCCACGAGATTAACGAGTAAGTTTTCATTAAATTTCATATAATTCAGTAAATGATTTGAAATCAGTTTTTTAATGGTATCATCTGTTTAACGTTCACACAGCTCTCATTTTATCATGTTGATAGTTATGAAATACCATGTCGATTTGAGGCATCTTCAGTTCATTTAAACGCAGCTCAAACATGTTCTGGAAGCTACGTGACGATTACTTTCATAGAGAATTGAAGAATCTTTTTTTTCCTTAACAGTTTGAAAGCCAACCGCGACATACTGCAACATCGCTTGGGAAACGTTCAACGAGCCAAAGAAATTCATAGAAATATCGCTCAGCAGCAGTTGGAGGAATACCGTCAGCTCGAGCGTCAGTTCAGCATTCTCAAAGGCGAAATAAACAGTTTGAGCAACACCAGAAAAGAGTTGATAAATATTCTTGAAGCCAAAGGAATATCGCCTGAGAAATTTGAGTTGGATCCTGTGGAGCCAGGACAAATTCAACAGCTGGTAAACATAACAAACTGTAGTAAATGCTTGATGAAACTCAACTTGTTAACGACTTAGTATAATCCATTTACTGTATCCAAGAAATTTGTTGATGAAATTTCATTTGTTATGTAGTATGTAGACTGGCTTTTATTGACTGTTTATCGTCTCCATTTATTTTTTTATTATTTTCGGTTTTAACCTAATTCTTTTCCAATTTCAGTCTAAAGATGTTTACAACGAGGCTACTTGGTTTTTCGACGAGTGTTCCCGAGACGACGCAACGCGTATGCTGAAAGGCAAGCCTGATGGAACGTTCCTCATTCGCGTTCGTCCACCCGGCAGCTATGCTCTTTCTATATCGTAAGTATATAATTGACATGATTTAGAATGAACCAAAATGCTTCTGAATTCATATATAATGCCCTATACAATTTTTATTTCATGGCTAGTCATACAATTTGATGTTTGACTTCTTATTTCTACAGTTGCGGTAATGAAGTTCAGCACTGCCTTATCTACAAATCTGATGATGGCTACGGGTTCGCAGAGCCATATCTGATATATGGCAGCCTGAAGGAGCTTGTGGTGCACTACTCCCGTAATTCTCTTCTTATCCATAACGACCTCCTGAATACGCCTCTCACTTACCCCGTAAAATCCGTCGTGCCAGCTGGTAATAGCTAGTTAAGCGCTTAGGTGGTAGGCTACTTGCATTTCTGTGAGCGTTCAATATGCAGCGGTGAATGTATAACTTTCCTTATGCTGCTTGTTTACTTCAGGGTCAATATTTACTAGAAAGTCGTGATTGACTTTACTATAGGATTTATGCAATGTGCCCCTTGTGATTGGTAGGTAGCAATCTAAATGAATGTGTTGTTATTCAACACCAATATGGATCCTTTTAGACTGCTGTGGTACAAATTAGTTATGAAGGCTAAAACAAAGCATCTAGCCGAGCACCGTGTTGCTGAGGTGCAGTTCCTACCAATTCATTAATTTGTGGGCTGCTAAGTTGTTTCTAGAAGGCTGCGCGAGTGCTGTTTTGAGAGTCGGTCATGGGTGTTGGATTCTCGGTGGCATGTTTTCCAAAGATAGAATAGATCTCTTAATAGGGAGGAATATTGAACTGAGTTAGATTGTTGTGCTGAGCTTTGCGTTGGGTAATGGTTTATTGTTGTTGCTGCTGCCGCACTGATGTGCTTTTTTTTCTTGACGCGTATTCAAATTTATGAAGGTTACGACTTCGATTTATCTGAGTTTATTGTTAATAGTCTAGTCTTTTTTGTATTAGTAATTCAATTATCTATAGAATGTCGCTTTCGTGTTATGTGTTCGTGCCATTTCTCTTGTTTCTAGGTTTATTCTGTATATATGCTATATTTTTTTATTTATATATTTTGAATTGGTTGTTCACCAGCGGTAAGTGGGCTTCCACAGAATTTAAATGATCTAAGCATCGCAATGTTTTGTTATCAAAGACCTCACTTCCATGCGTTACGCCATGAGTGAGCGGTATTTATTAACACTATTAGAAAGAAATTCATACAGTGAAACTAAACAAGTGAAAAAATTCTGTAAAACTGGTGCAATAAAATTTTGGTGTTATAATTCATCATGGCGATGACAGCTTATGCTTCCTCGCGCATGGACCCTGGTTAAATCGTTAGAATCGCTTGTGTAAATTAAACGTGAAGAATCTCATTAATAGAAGTTTGAGGTTAACTCTACTCCTTGCAATAGGCCCAACGTATCGAACATAAAGTTTGGGTCATTTCCCTTCATGGTAACTACATTCTTTATTATAATGATGGCTAAAGAATAATTAGGCAACATGACTCACGCATTCGAATTATTTGTTCCGTTTTACATGGTGACTGAAAGTATGCCTGCTGGTGCATTTCCTCTCATTGTGATATGAACTAGGACCCTTAGCCGACACATTTCTTTTCTTGTGGTCGGTGGTGAAAGGGTCCTCAACAATAAAGTGCTCTTGATTATAAAATGTATTTTGCAATCCTTGTTCAAGTTTGACCATCATTTGAAAAACAGGTACATTGTGTTAGTGGTCAGAGAAACAATGCTGTGTTACCGAACTATTGAAGTGAAACACGAACTATTGACCAGTGAATACAAATCTGAAAATAGTAACTGGCGACAAGCATCACCATGTCCTTGCAGAATTAAAAAACGCCTACGAAATAGATACTTAGTGACTATCACATGTGTAATTTTACGTAAAGAGTTTAACGTAATAAATTCACCGTAATCTGCAAGATAACTTCCAAATTACGTTGCCAAAAAATTCAGGCTCTGGCAACTCCTATTCAATTTCTTCGTATCTTTTTCCTATTGACTAGATCATAGTACTTCGTCCTTACCAAGCGGATGTGCACTCTTACTTTACTAATTCCGACAATATTTACTAGGGATAGAATTTTCGATTCGATGAAAAAAAAAATGTAAATACGAGGCGCAAGTCCCGGCCTATGCAAAAGCTGCCCCATGAGGTACGGTTCTAGCACGAGCTGGAAACGATGTGTAGAAAGGAAATGTCTCAAGATTGGTGATTACCTGAAATGATTTCATTAACAATCGTATAGGTACACATTTCATAATTGTCTATCCAGTAGCCCCATTTCAATGTGGAGGGCAACAATTGTAATCAAAGTACAAATTTATTTTCTCATTGTTATTGCGTTTAAATAATTCGTAAGAGAAACTGTCAACTTAGACTGTAAGAAACACCGTCAATATAGTAGCAAAACTGAAACGGCAAACTCACTGAATACTCACACAATGTCACAGGCAGAATCTAACAAAGAAATCTATAAAATGAAAATCGAGGAAACTTTGAATTAAGATCTAAAGATGCCCGAAGATCAAATTGAAGCACACAATCTTAAAATACTTATGAAAACTACTAAACAATCAATAAGATGTAACTTATTGCAATTAAATTTTTACAACGTTGGACAAGTTGGAAACGCTTATAAGCGCGTCCAGCAAATAAACCATCGATCAGACCTAGTTTGGAACAAAGTCCATAATAGGAAACTTGACTTCTCAATTGACTTTTTTCTGTAATGGAAAACAGAACCCTATAGGATCATCGAGAAAACTAGAACAATACAAACATTAAACCAAATTTCCCTCAAAGTTATGACCACAAATCAAAACACGCACACTTTCCTAATATTATTTCTAGTGGCATCATAGCACGAACGTTCCACTGATATTTGGTAAGCCACGAATAAAGGGTATTTCGACATGTAGCGGAATTGTGCTTCGATATAGTCATCCATGTATCAGTACTTGCTCAATGTTGGGTAGCAGCTTTCGATCCGCGTCTTGGAGAAATTTTAATTCATCCAGAATCCAGTTCGTGACGATTCCAATCGACTACTATGAAAATGAGCGCAGTGTATTTGTTCCTCTCTAGTCAGCAACAAACCATACATTCCACAGTTTCGATCGATGCTCACCGACCAATATCAAGTACACTATCACCCCATTGGCTGCAGCTCGCAAGTTACCTAGCTGTCAGGTCATTTCTCATTCGAAATACTTAGCTAAAATGGCGAGGCATTAATTGTATGGCCCTAAAAATAATAATGCCAGATGAAATGAGCTTTCCGCTGTTATAATGAATAAGATTGAATACTAAATTAGTGCGATGCTAGAAGTGGAATTTGAACTGGAACGGACCGCCTCCTCCCTGGAAGTGCTGGAACGGATTAAATCCGTGACGGAATGGCGATTGCTGTTGCTGCTCAGGATCTAAAGGATCTTCTCCACTATCGAATTTTCGACGCATTTCTGAAAATAAATAAATCTCCATCATCCCTCACCATCATTGAAAATAGTTTACTCAATGATCTTAGGGTTAAATATTTAAATTTCAGATAACAATCAACAAGTGTCAACAATCATTCACCTCTTGTTTCAGTGTCGATGGAAAAACTATTAGTGCCTAAACATACATTTACATTTAGAAATATTAATGAAAACTATTAATATAACGAAACGAGATCCTACTATTGACATAGAAGCTTGAAAACTGCAAACATGTATCCACAATGTTTACTTGGGAACTTGAACAAATAATCGTTTTCAAGAAGAAATCAGAAATTAACACCGAATTCTCTCCAATAAAATTGTATCAACATCTATCTATGATTAGCATCATACGAACGGAATGGGTGTACTCGCAGTCCAAAACCATCTTTTGGATAACTAGGGTAATAATTGCAAGCTTAATGGCATTCGACCAACAAACACATGTGTGTTCAATACAAACGATGTGTATGATTTTTGAAACTTAAACTGTTGAGTCCTTCAGTACTGCTCTCGGAGCTCCAGTATACGAATACTTACCATCGTCCGTCAGAACTTCCTTGGCAGCGGCAATGTCGATAAATTTCTTCTCTGCCATTTCCTTCTCATCGCCATCAAAATGATCAGGATGCCATTTCTGTGCCATTTGCCTGCGGAAAAAAAATTATTAAGAATAACAAATCGAATTCAAAGGTTGATTCGTTTGAGTTTGTAGGAAGAATTTTTGATGGCTTGCATAATTAAAGCATGTCAATCTTGCGAATTATGAAGGACGAAGGTATTTAATAATAAATGATGATGGACTCTAAATACCTTCTAAATGATGGACCTAATACTAAATTTGTATTTATTAAAGTATAATTTCAAAATGAATAATTTATACACCAATGGAAAGATACAATTTTTGACACATGTACAAATGTTCAATATGTCCCTCTTATGCTGCACGGCAAACATCTAAACGGTAGCCAAACTCGTCCCACACACGAGAAAGCATATCTTCTGTTATTGAGTGCACCGTAGCAGTGATACGGTTCTTCAGATCAGTGTTGCTGGTAGAGGCGGGACGTAAACATAGTTGCTGGAATGCTGGTAGAGGCGGGACGTAAACAGAGTTGCTGGTAGAGGCGGGACGTAAACAGAGTTGCTTGTAGAGACAGGACGTAAACAGCTTTCTTGACGTAACCCCATAAGAAATAGTCAAATGATGTGAGATCAGGTGATCTCGGTGCCAGAAGTGTAGAGCCAGATCTTCATTTCCTATGCGTCCTACCCAACGCTCAGGAAGTGACTGATTCAAATATTATTAATCACATTTTCTTTTAATCATGCCGCCAAATTTCGGGTTTGAATCGGTTAAAAAATTTGAATTTTTCACTTTCCATCGGTTCATAAATTATTCATTTTGAAAATATACTTAAATAAACAAGAATTCATCAAGTTGGGTCCATCATTTAGAATAACCCCAAATTATAAATATAGTTCGAGATACTTTTAGGCACATAAGAGTAAAACAGGGATATCACCGTCACAGTACATGACGATATTACTATTGCTGTCCCCTGCATGTGACTAATACATGAATTCATCATTTTTACAGCTATGCAATATACATTCTCAAATAACACAGATAAGACTCGAAAATTTACACAGGGTTACTAGTGGAGTACCTATATGCTTTAGTGATTTCCCTCTTAGTCGCGGTTCTCTTGACACCGAGAATTTTATAGTAATCTCTTCTGCCAGCTTGTTTCTTCAATTTCTGCACTCGCTGCATTCCTTCCTTGGCTCTTGTAAAGTTCTCGTCGATTTTTTGTGCTTGCTGATAATCCTCGGCAGCTGAAAACGAAATCAGGACAATTAAAACTTATATTTTCTGTTTCCATTTCACACCACTGAACCTGGCTGGAAATTCCTCATACGATTTCAAATACTTAGAAAACAAATGCGATTCCAATATTGAACAAAATTTTAACGAATAAATGAGTAAATTACCGTCATTAATCGAATAAATGATAATCAAAAATCCATTATTTAAGGTAAACAAGTTAAAAAAATTTGAAAGCATCTTTTACAACCTATTAAAAGTATCTAAGTCTAATTTTTTAGGGCCGTATCCATCTGCACAAGCGTCAACACGTTCCTAGACAATGCTTATATCACTCTTTGATGCTGATGAATCATGCCATCAACAATTTGAAATACAATTTGCACCTAATATATACTTCTCATGAGATAGTCAACAGGAAATGAGGTAGCTTCTGAATTTTCAATTCTACAAGCCCATTCAGTATTTATTTTTTGGATGAGCATAAATAACTCCTTTAGTTCAGGAGAGAATCTGTTGGTTTGAAGGTGCACCCGTGACTTAGATAAGGCAGAAAATGCATCATACCGTAATTTAAAGATACGTTACATATTAGTTCACACAAAGCCTTTACTCATTTTTCCCTTTTTCATCAAAAAGTTGTCTCGCAGCAATTTTCATCCTGAGAAGGGGAAAAAGCTCAACAAAATTTGCACAACAAACCTGCATCTAAGTCATCATTGACTATGTGTAGCTCGGCTCTTTCGCAATACAATCGAGGATCTTGCGAATATTGCAGCGCCACGTCGCAGGATTTCTTGGCTTTTATAATCTCGCCAATTTCTCGGTCGCAGATGCAGAGTTTTTCGTATGCCAGGTGTCTCACGGCTTCGACGTCAGGTTCTTCTTTCAGGATCTGTTAACATAATCATGGCCAAGCTAAGAGTATACTTTGACAAGAATCAATTTTATCTTGAAACTGAATTATAGGATGTAGTTTGACTATGATGTTGATGTCATGGTGAATGTAATTATTGAACTAATTTAAAATCAATGTTGTTTTAATAAATCGGCAGCCTCAAAAATTGAAACTTACGGCGGTAATTGTGCCCAGCATATTATGATGAATAAATTATACAAGAAAACTATTACTCCTACCAATTATTTAGACGTGAAAAACACCAAAAATGAAGAGACTCCTAAATCTTGCTAGGAATAATTTACCTTTCCTGCCGCTTCAGAACATTCGGCAAATTGCTTGTTGTTCACTTGCTCTTGTAGTCCCTCAACGAGCTTGTTGACTTTCTTCACTTTCTTGTAAACCGCAAAGCAGTTCTTGTGATCGGGGTCGAGTTTCAAGCATTCACGAATTTCACTGAAAAAGAAGGAACATGTGTTAACCAAGTAATGCTTTCCAGAGTTGGGAAAATCAACCTACTACCGTACACAACTCCGGAAAATTTCCCTCCTACCGTGCCCGTGGCAACTTTTAAGACGAGCTCTCAAAAGCTGTTACCTTAATCAAGTTTGAAGGAGACTGAAATAAGACTATATAACTTCCTGAAAAGTGGTCCCAACACATTTTCTTATTTATAGACAATAAATCATACATAAGTATGTTGTATGTTATGTTGGACTAGTTATATAAATATTTTAGATATTTAATGATGCATTAGATCCAATAATCCAAAGCACTTTCCAAAAATAACGTAAGATAGTACAAATAACAATTAGGAGTTCTCCTAACCACCTGGCTTAAATATTCATTCCTTTACAGTTTCTGAAAAGTCGTCCCTGATTGGTAATGTATATATTAACTCTTCTATAGTCTTCATTAACGGCATACGCCCTATGGCCTCTGGGCATAGAGTCGCCATTAGGGTAATTTAACCAAACGACTACAGGAGGGTTAAAAGCAATACTGGAACACATCCTAACCGAGATCTTTATAGTTACTGAAGAGGCTACGGAAGGCGTTGCGTGAATGCCAAGACAAGTGACAATATTACCAAAGCAAAGTTAGCTAATACAAAAAATACTTCTATTACTACCAGAATGAAACCTATTTGAACATGCAGGCAAAATCAATAGTTATCTAGATATTTTTTTCGTCTCATGGTTCAAAATTGTTTACATTTTCATTGTAAAAATAATTTACAGCTAGCTCCAAATCTAACGCATAATTTGACAATTTCACCTTCATGATTTGTTTAAAAATATCCAAATTCAAACCCAGCTTTTATTCGTGTTTTGTTTCGAGTTCATATTCATTTTTTGAAAATGACAGAAAATTATCACTTGGATAATTAGTATATAGAGCAACTAGAGATAAAATCAAATATGAATAAATAGAACAGAAATATATTTTATCCCATTTTCGAAGCTACGAATGAAAAAATTTATGAATTTAAGTTTGAATGTTCTCTCATTGAATCAGTAATTGAATAATCTCATTGAATTAGTAGTAATCACTGAAGTGATACCCAAGCGTGTGTTCAACGTCTCCCATCCTGTAGTAAAGGTTAGCCAGATGCAAGAAGCCCTCTGTGTTGTCGCTAGTGAGTTTTGTGGCAACTCTTAAGTCAGTGATGGCGCTCTGCAGGTCACCGACGGCCTCAAAAGCAGCTATTCTCTGCTCCCGCACCCATGAAGCCCATGGACATTCCTATAACATTGAAGAATTTTTTATATAGAGAAGACACTGATCCAACGCATAGGTTTTCAGTTTTAAATTATCATACAGCAATCAGTATGATCAAATTAAGTGTAATCAAATCATTGTTTACAGAAAAAAACAAGCATAATGAGGGAGTTAGAAAGTTATTTATTGGAGCTAATGAGCAATTTGAAGTCTTGTATTAAATTTGCAGTTTTAACTTGATTAGAAATTCACTGACAATTACGGAAAGACGAAAAATTCAATGACAATTATTCGAAAAAAATAAGGGTTAAAGCAAACATTCAAGTTGATGAAAATCTACTTACATCGACAATATCTTTAAGCAAAGGAATAGCATAGTGGTAGTCCCCAACGTGAACAGAATCTTGCACAAGCACCATCTTCTGTTTGAGCGGCTCAATTCTGGCATACAACTCGTTGGCTTCCACATTGTCAGGTTCACGTCGCAGCTAGAACAGGATAACATATCAGATAATTTGGACAAAAATTTACTGTTTTATGAACACTTTCCTAACAGCTTTATAATAGAGTTATGAGTAAAGTGTCAACATTTAAATAAATCATTTTTGCAAGAGTGTAATGTTTGAATACGGCATACGTAAAAGTTTAATTTAAACGCAATCAATTAGGTAAATGTGAAGCTTGATCAAGATTGAATCGCATCAGATGGGTATATGAACACAAGATGAGGCAAAGACATCTTTTGTGAGAACAAAAAAGCTGTTACGAGTGAAACATCCCTTAACATTCAACACTTGCATAACACTTCTGGCACTTTTTAATATTGACACATCAAACCATGTCAATTGGCGCAGGGAGCGTGAGGTAGTATGTGCCTAATACTACACACGATATAAATTTTAGTCGCCAACAGCCACCCACCACTTCTTCCAGGTCGATATGCGCTAAATCCAGTTCTGCCATTTTATAGTGAACAGAGGCACGCTGCAGACGTGCATTAGTGAGGTCCGGCTTAAGCAGCAGAACCTTGTCCAGGTCTTGTAAGCCTGACCGAGCACGACCCAAAGCCAGGAACACTGTTGCTCTGTGAATATGTTCAATTTATTGTAATGATATCAATACGCATTAATAGTCTCCGAATAGGTCCGAAAATTCAAATGTTGACATGAAGCATTTATGCATTTAGAAATGAAGCTGATGATTATAAAAGATATAAAGTAAAACAAGAACTAGGTATCAGCTCAAGAAAGATCGTAAATACATGATTATCTATAGCAAAATTAGGGACCATTAAAACCAGACATTTTAAAATTTAATAAGACGTTTCGAGTAGAGATATGTTTCTTCATATTTTACACGACATGGAAACAATGTTGCAGGATGCAGATTCAAAGGTCTTCCTGATCACAGTGTACCTTAGGACGTTTGCTGCAAGAGGTTCAGAAATACAATGATCTAATGATGGTATGTACAGAAAAGAGATATGAGATATGTACAGAAGAGTGCACAAGGAAGAGACTGGGGCAAAACCGAAGCATGGTAGTCCATCAACCTTTAATGACATATAGGTACCGGTCTTTATCCTGTGTGTAAACAAAATAGAATCAAATATGACAAAGCTGAGGAGTACATTCACAGAATCATTATTATGACAAAACAAGAACATAATCATGATCAAGTCTGTAAGTAATTTTTATTCAGTATACTTATACTCTGAGTGACACTCCTACGGTACTTCTTTACTTTTGTTTTACGCGCCTTTGTATCTGAATAAAAGGGGGTGTGCACGAACCCATAGTGGGAAATTCTTCTTCCTTGCAGAAGGAGCCTTAAAAGGGGCTTCCCACAACAACAAGGAAATTATGACAAGGGTTGTCATTGCTGTAACTTTTGGGAGTTCAAGTTATTGAAAAACATGACAGCTGTAGGCATGAAAAATATGACAGCATTCATACTGCTACTAGTAATACATTAAAGGGGGCAATAAAGGCATTTTAAAAATTGTGCATAGTATAAAAGTAAGGTGACAGACTATTCAAGACACTTGACTACTCAGAGATCCAAATCATAATGTGTGGGAGTAAAAACCAAAAATAAAAATAACAAACTATAAACATGTTCAGAAGGAGCTGCAAAGGACTAGCTATATTTCACAGTAAATATTTTTTAACAATCATGACTTATTATCTTGACATGTTTAGGATTGATTCTCTTTTTAAATGCCTTGGGCATCTAATTAATTATCTTCCTTGTTTCTCTTGGTGTAATATTTAGACAGAATCTTAGTTAATGAAACCTAAACCTTGGACGTCTTCATGTAACGCACTTTGTTAGTCTGCACCTTTTATTGAAGACTTTGAAATTCACTGGTTTCGCCTAGTCTTTTGTCGAGTCTACACAGGCATGCTTGAAATTTATGAATGCCTGGCTCCATCTACACCTCTGCTAGTTAAGTGCAAACCTGTGTATAATTTTGGCAAGTCATGCTAGGCAGTTTGATCCTTACCTCACCATTTATCTTATTTGTTCAGTCCTGAAGTCTTAGCAAACATTTTTTTTATTAATTTGTGCCTATTTATTAACAAAGTTTGTCATTTGTAACCTGTTCTCATGCAAGTCTTGCTCTTTCAATATTACATTTTGCTTTTTGCTTGCTCTAACCGTGTTGTATCCAGCCTCAAATAACTAACTCTGGTAACAGAGAGTGTTCCTAAGCTGTCTTGAGGATCTTTCAGATGCCAATTAAGCTTGAAGGGTAATTTTCATGAACATATTTTTTAGACATTAGGGTCTGCTAGTGTGGTGATGCTGTCTTTTTAATGTGAGCATTAAATCCCTCACTTGGCTTCTGGTCAACAAGAAAGAAAACCAAGATTGCCTATCAACTACAAATCTACAATTGACTTTTTTCTTCAGCCAAAAATGACTGCGTGACTTTTTCAGAGTGTTTGCTTTGCTTGATGCCCCAAATGCTTTGGTATTTAGACTAAAGTTGTCTAGGAATTAATACTATTTTCATGGTTTTAATGTGCAATTACACAATTACTTCACATAAATTAATTAGATCCTTACCTGAACAGTGATTTTCAAGCCAACTACTCACTAATTCAAGGAACCTAGTGATGCTATTGTTTTCATCATTGAATTTCAGTCAGAAAACCTTAAAATAGTGAGAGCAAAATTAAGCTTTCATTTATACATATGTTCTTGCTTCTTGGTCCTTATTTGACTTATTCTCATTTTATATCACTAAGATTTGATGTCCCTACTGACAAGTATGAACTAATTATTTATGTGGTGTGTTATCTAATCCATTCATTCATTTTACTTTCTTTTACCCTCTGGATTTCTGTTTGCCACATCTTTCTCACGTAAGCTCAAAGCTCTAGGCAACCAACTGCTCTGCCAACAAATCCAGGTAATGATAGGGTGGCTACAACTTCTCTTGCATGTACTGTGCCCTGATGTAAGATTGAATGTTTCAGAGTGCTGTGTGGAATGATAGTTCTAGGAAAACTAACTGAGATTGCACTATTACCTGCCAAGGTCAGTCAAAATTGACCAGCTGTCAACATTTGTCCTAAATTCTTATTGGATTGTGAGCTCCATTGTATTAATCCTCAATATCCAGTTTATCATGATTTTAGGTACTTGTCTGCAGCTAGAGCACACATAGGTATTGCCAGTATCCAGGTGGTTTGAAAAGCAATTTTTAACATGTTTTTCTTTACTCAGCTTTGCGTTTGTATGTTTGTTATCAACATTGACAACAAAAAGTAGCCCACTTCTGATTGCTCTAGAGATCTGAAATTCGGCATGCAGGCTATTTTCGCCTAACAATTTCATATACAATCATAAAAACTAGCAATTAGAGACCTAAATTAGCTTAATTGAGTAAAGTATATATATAGAGTATAGGTATATATAGTATGACGTGCGGGCACTTACATTATAGACAAGCATGCGCTGACGCTGCGTATCATCGATACGTACATCAAGTAATACTTAATCAAGTCTTAATCGTTTTTCTTGTGGACTAAAAAGTAGAAAATAAAATGCTTAAAAAAACTTTTTAAAAAACCACGCTTTTCTTGTGGACTAAAAAGTAGAAAATAAATTATGGCTCGCCCCAAAAAAATGTGGGTCGGGCTGTATGTTCACCATCAAATCTCCAAAATTTGTGTGTTGTGTGCTTTTCGCTTTAATCGTAAATCTGCCTGACACACATTTTTTGGGGTGAGCCATAATTTATTTTCTACTTTTTAGTCCACAAGAAAAACATGTTTTTTTAAAAAAGTTTTTCTTAAGTATTTTATTCTATTAGGTACTTATAGTTCTGGCGACTGGGCTTCAACAAGCTGAGAGGCCTAATTGGAGCTCTTCCTCTGGTGTGTGACTTTTACGTGCAGACTTTTCAGACTATCACGTGACCAGACCACAGACTATCACCAGACTATCACCAGACTATCACTATAATGACCAGACTATCACCAGACTATCACGTGACTATCCAGACTATCACGTGCATTTAATTCAGACCACAGGACTGCCAATTACATTTTTTTTTTGTACCAACCTGCATTATTTTTAGTAAAGTGTATTTTGTTTAGTAAGGTGTTAGTGTTTTCCCTCCTTCATTTCTTCCTGAAATAACTCCTTAGATCTCATTCAGTGATGATTTGGACCTTCAGTTACAAAGTGGCAACGACACACATATTTCTGTGAGCTTACAAGGATCTGCTGAAATGTAAACTACAGCAACTGCTAAATTTTCACACAGTTAGTATTTATGGTTCAGTCGTGATGCTCTGATTCAGCCACTTACCTTCGATAATAACTGAGGTAGTTGTTAGGGTCTCCATCAATTGCTGCATGGAATTGAGCAAGAGCATCATGAAGCTGGCCTCGTGCCAGCATCTGCACCCCAAGCTCCAGGTATCGTTGTACTTCATTAGGATCACTGCCCCCCAGCACACCTGAAAATATTGGTGTCAATTATTGCCAATCATACTGTTGTCAAAAAGTCAATTTGTGTCACAATAAGAAACAGCTGAATTTTGAAGGAATTGCTGGCATTAATACATATTCAAAATAAGTTGGAATAATCATGGAAAAATTTTCCACATTTATTTTAGAGGCTGCCTGCAGAGAACATTGTAGAACAGCAAGTAAAAAAAGCAAGTACCGGTACTATGTAATATGTGCCAACTGTTTCTCTTTCAGGTTGCATGACCTGCATCAGATTGAATTCATATTATTATTAGTATGTAGTCCTGAAATAGCAAAATTGCCAATTCCATGGAATCAGCAGCCAGTTTGCCAAATCTGCAGAATCAGCATTTCTATACCATAGGAATCTGGGGTTAGGTCAGTCAGCCAATTTCCTTTTTTAATATTAAATTTAAATATAATGGAGCTTGACCAAACTTGATCTAACCTTTTCCAACACTAACTGTTGATTTATGTTCAAACTCTAACTTCCAATTTTCTGAATCAGTAGCAAAATGCTGATTCTACAGATTCTACAGATAGGAAATTGATATTTAATTGATAGGTAACTGATAGGCAAATGATAGGTAAAAGATAAGAAACAATAGGTAAATGACAGGAAAATGATGGGTAAATAATATTTGGATAATAGCAAAATGATTATTAAATGATATTTAAATGAGACGCAAATGATAGTTAATAGATAAATGATAGTTAAATGAAACGCAAATGATAGTTAAACGATAGATAAATTATAGGAAAATTATAGGAAAATAATGGGTAAATTATAGACAAATGAAAGGTTAATGATAAGTAAACGATGCCGCATCACCGAAAGTTTTACCAAAAGCCATTGCCGCCGATTTGCAGCTGTTGTGTGCAGCTAGCCTAGGCTGAATAGCACTCGACAAGTTTCACTAGTAAGTAGATTAGTAGACCAGATGGTAGGTGCAAGTTAACAGTTTCATTAGCAATGTCTTTGAAATTTAGAGCTATAAAATTTGGAGAACTGTAATCATATTTGGACATCATATTTCTTTCATTAACAACACAATACAATATCAAGGTTTACTTTAAGCAGAAAGTGGTACCCTTTGCAAATCCCAGCCAAGCAAGTAGATGATTTAAATTTTACAAAAAACAAGATGGTGTTGTCATAATTTAAGTTTTTTTGTTTGTTTCCAAACACACGCCAATCAAATTAGGCTTTCAGTTGGGCGAGACTTTTAAATTAAATGCCTCCTGTGCGCTGAAGTAAAAACTGCCTGTCTGACATTTTGGTATCTTTGTTGTGATCCTCACGTGGTTTGTGCACATATCTACTAGAGTTAATATAAAAGAACATGGTATTTTGAGATTTTGTACCAATCAACGCTCCTTATGGACCAGTCTCCAGCACACTAGCACCATGATGCAATTCTATAATTAATATAAAATAACACTGTATTTTGAGAATTTGAAACTATCATGAATGTTTATGGACCAGTTTACAGCACACTAGCTCCACTCCTCACAAGACACAAATAAAAGTAACTTATTGAATAAAAGTACTTATTGAAGTCAGGCTTCAAGACCTCAAATGCCTAAAAATATAAAAAATTGTGTTTCTGCATAGATTCCAATGCTCAAAGAACATTGAAAAACTTCAAAGTGTCTCTCTTTTCATATAGACTTGTTGAAGAAATTATAATTTTGCTACAATCGTCACTCAAAACCGCTTTCAGAACCAATTGGTCAATTCAGTCCGATCAAATGCACTGTCAAACGGGGTAATATGAGATGGTTTTGAGCTTTTTTGTTAATAACTTCTTACCATGAAACATTTCATAAACAAGTTTGGGTTCATTTTAAAGCTCTTTGAGAGGGCTGTCAAATGGGCTGAAAAAATTCCATATGCTATCTGTAAGGTGTCAGATGCAAAATAAAAGCGTCCTGAATTAACACTGGGAACAGGGTAATCTGGGACACTTGAAATAAAATTAAATTTTGAAATGTTTGCAGCATGCAAAGTGTACTCATCCATTACTAACAGTACTCTGAAGTCCTCCTCTTCCTTTGTAGATGATATTGATGTATAATAAATGACATTTTCTGTGATTTTTACTCATTTTTCCTTTATTGATATATTACCATATCCATACATTACCGTATTAACGATGTGATATCCATTTTTGAGATTTAATTCAATAAAGAAAAAATTTGTAGGTTTTCACTTATACTTACATAGTATAAGTGTATAAAGTATTATACAAATACTTATCCACTTATATTTACATGGTATTTTTCTTAACAATTTTCTCTTTTTAACCATAACATTTTCATTAAGATGAGAGGAAAATATTTCTTTTGTGCTCATACCTTATGACACCTAAATATAGAATTGCACCATGTGTCCAAAATCTCAGAATACCATGTTCTTTTCTACTGACACTTTAATGCCCAAGTGTATGGTTGCATTTCAAACATGCTCTGTAATATTATTGTTGTGATAAAGAATTGATGCTGGTTGTTTTAAATGTGTTTGGCAAGCTTCTCTGCTTTGTTTTGGTGGTGCAACTCGGCTCTTTGTTGCCAACTACGCAGTACAGCACTGAACTTGTTGGGAATCCGTGGTGCCATTCACTTGTTGAACTTTCCCAATCTTTATTGGACAATGGTTGGAAAATCAGATAAGTTACAGCATTAAAAAAATTCTACATTGTTTCTAGTACAATTGTGAGCGCACATGCAAAATTTGAACATAAAATAAAAATGACATGCATACCGTCAAACAGGGTAAAAAGGGACGGATTTGAGCGTTTTTTGTTAATAACTTCTTACCATGAAACATTTTAGAAACAAATTTAGGCTCATTTTATAGCTCTTTGCAAGGGCTATCCAATGGCATCTTAAAAAAATTCCATATGCTATTCGTAAGGTGCCAGACGCAAAATAAAACCAACCACTGCAAGCTTCATATCAGCAGCCATGTAGCATTTCTTCTGTATCTGTAAGCTTACAGGATGGTTTGTAATTTCGTACAATTTTAATTGAGTCAAGTGATTTTTTCACTATAACAAAAAAGATTGTGAAAAACATACCTGGAACAGAAAATAATGTTTTAGTAACAACCATCATATGTATTGGAGAAATAAATCATAGTTTAGGTCAATTAATTTTCATTCTATGATGCCTGGTGCACAATTCTATATATAGCATTCTATGTACAATTTTGTGACGACCGTTGATGCACTAATTTTTCGATAAGTGAATTTTTTTTGCTGAGCGAGGTAAATGTAATCAAAATTCTTTGTTGTTAATCAATTTTTTTGTTAACTGGAAGCTTTGCTAACAGAGGTTCTACTGTAAATGCATTTTTAAGGGTGTCCCTAATTACCCCTGGAGCGTGTCCCTTTTTACCCCATCGCGCGGAAATGGCTGCCATTTTTTTTTGGAATGAGATAGGCAAATTCTGTTAATTAAGTTTTCAAGCCGACACCTGGGTGCAACTTTAATGTAAGTAAAATTTTTTAATACAGCGAATATTTTTTATGGCTCCAGACCTTAGCAGAGGTACTTTTCCAAAATTGCACTTTTCACACTTTTTTCAGCAATTTTTTTAGAGATAGTAAATGTTTGATTTCTTGACTGGCTTTATACATAATAGATAGTAAAAATGTTAAAGTTTATGCCACTATTTTTAGTTTTGCAATATTTTGATTAGTTTAGCTGCTACAACATTTATACAAAATGTGGGACACGCGTCCCGATTTACCCCGCCCATCCCTTTTTACCCCGTTTGACGGTATATCACAGTGTGTTTCTAAAGGCAACCATCCAGTACACTTGGACTTACAACTGCATTGTTTAAAATGCAACTGTTGAATCAGAGTTGAGTTGATCCAACAACCATGCAAGCAAGAAATTACAATGTAAAATAATTGTATTTTCAATACTATAGTATAATTTACTGCCTTTGTACAATATTTTTCTCACTAATAGTCAGGAACACTAATTCAGTTTACCTATTTTATGTCTCCATACACTGGCTACGCTAAATGGTCAAATTATTGAAGGGTGCTTGTAATATTTTTTGCCTTTCAGAATCTTCTAGGGCTTTAGCATATAAAAACCTTTTCTTCTCCAAGAAAACGTCACAGTCTATGTGAGCAGCATTCTGCTACTTAATTCCCTTCATTCCATTTTGCTATTTCATAAAAACATTTTCTTCTCCAAAAAAATGTCGCAGTCTATGTGAACAGCATTTTGCTACTTCATTTGCCAGTGAATCTAAAGGAGCCTTTGTAGATCTAGAGGACATATTAGATAACGCTTCACCAATAAGCTAGATAAGGCTTTACCAATAAGCTTGAAACCAAATCTGAAAGCAAATTTGAGTAAGAAAACTAATCATTCATGATTGAAATTAACAGAATGGAAAGTGAGAACCTGGCCTCTAAACCTGGACCGTGGCCTCTCAACCTGGACCATGGCCTCTCAACCTGGACCATGGCCTCTCAACCTGGACCATGGCCTCTCAACCTGGACTGTGGCCTCTCAACCTGGACTGTAGCCTCTCAACCTGGACTGTGGCCTCTCAACCAGGACCACGGCCTCTAAACCTGAACCGTGGCCTCTCAACCTGGACCGTAGCCTCTCAACCTGGACCACGGCCTCTCAACCAGGACCACGGCCTCTCAACCTGGACTGCAGCCTCTCAACCTGAAAACCTGGACCGTGGCTTCTCAACCTGAACCATGGCCTCTAAACCTGGACTGTGGCCTCTCAACCTGGACCCTGGATTATCAACCTGGACCGTGGCCTCTCAACCTGGACCCTGGCCTCTCATCCTGGACCCAGGCCTCTCATCCTGGACCCTGGCCTTTCATCCTGGACCCTGGCCTCTCATCCTGGACCCTGGAATCTCATCCTGGACCCTGGCCTCTCATCCTGGACCCTGGCCTCTCATCCTGGACCCTGGCCTCTCATCCTGGACCCTGG